TCTTTCCAAACCCCCCCCCCCCCCCCGGCTACGGGCCTGTGTCTATATAACGAAATTATCAAGAAAAGGCCTAACGTATGGGACTGTATTCTTACATGGGTTAAAGGTTTGTTTAACTGTTTTTATTTAATACATGCACTTCACTGGATATTATATTTGTGTTCTTCTAGTGTATTAAGGTTGATGAAAGTAATTATATGGAATATTAGTATGCTTTCATTTTTGTCCAAAATATGGATATGTTTAAAAAACGAATGTATGGTCAAATGTATGTGGATGTAACGAATGTTATGAATGTATAAATCTGAGAGATGACAGTCTTAAAATTATATATATATATATATATATATATATATTTTTTTTTTTACTGATATGAAAATACATTTAGTAAGCTTTAATAAATCTATACCATTTAAGATTATTGTTTTTACTTTTGTTGGGTTATCAAGCCACTATAATTGTGGCCAAAGTATGCATATAGTACTATACAGATCAGCCGAAGTCTCCTTTTTACGTTTTTCTTCCATACTGCAGCGATCTGTTGACAACTGACAGGTGTTAGCAATACCTTAATGCAATTTGAAGATGGTGGTCGTAGTCTGAGTTTGATTACTGGTATAACTGTAAAGTTTATTTCGAAGGCATTTTCTAGCCTTCGGCAATTTGCGTAAAACTTCGGCATGTGTGACAGATATCATATTTATTGTCAATTAAACGATTCCTACACAGTCACTTTTTATTTTATTTTTTAATGTTAAAGTCACAAATATTTTATTCAGGGCAATTGTCGAAATAAGACTTTCACGCAGAATATAGTATAAATAGAGATTCTATAAATCGTGAATACTAATCTCTTATAATGGTTCAATGACTTAGACGGGTATCAGCTAGATTCTTGTAATTTCACGTTGGGGAAAATACAGCAACTTGAGCAGGCGCATCCATTTTATTATTGTCAAAGATGTTTTTTAGATGCAAGTATAAGCAGAGCAGTAAAAACACAAAACTTTCTTGTTTGAGCTATACTTACTTATTTACTTGATCATTGGGGAGATTTAAAATATAAAACCTTATTTCACGCCGTTTGATATTTCACTCACAGTTTATAATGAAGAACTAATACCCTGCAGGGAAACCAAAAAAATTTGCCTTCTGAGAAATACGAGAAGGAAAAAATGTAAGGGTTAATTATTCCGAAGCTGAAGGAGTGGGGCAGAGGCACGTGACCCTCTTGTTTCGATGATCATTCGCCCCGCCATGGTCAAATCTTCGTCCTCCGGGGACATTCGCTCTTTGGGTCCATGTTTATTCGATTCAGGCCTGTAGGGTACGAGCATTGATAAGAGGTGCGTATGGACGAGTGGAAGATTACATTGCTGAATCACATCTTCTTACGCTCTTTGCTTATCAGTAACAGTATTTATGGTAAGTTTAAAAACGAAAGAAATATCGAATGTTTGTCTTCAACATTCTAAGACATTCACGCCGTAAGGCTAGATTTTATGTATGATGTAAATCAGCTTAAGATCAATGTAATTTTTTCCTGAATCGCTGCGTCCATCGCGGTAGTTGTGACGCGGGTCATCTGTGAGACTTGTCTGATCGCGGTTGATGACGTAGCTGTTGCTAATATCGCTGGCACAGTTTACCGACAGATTTACATGTAGGGCACTGCATGTATCAAGAATGAAAATGGGGGGGGGGGGGGGGGGGGAAAGCCCCGTTTTTTTTTTGTTTTGGAGAACCTTTAAAACCCACCCCAAACCCCCGGGTCCCAAAAAATTTAAAAAAAAAAAAAAAAAAAAAAAACCAAAACGGGCCCTTTTTTTTACAAAAATTT